CCTGACATTCCACACCCAATTGTAAACCTGTGCCTCTCACCACTTGGAATGCTGACTATTCCTTGTATTTAATAAAATAGACTGCTGAAAGCAAGAGCAAACCAAACTATGTGTCTGCCTTTTCTTTTAATAATCTTGGCATTAACACGAAAATGAAAAGAAAATGAATTTATTTTAGTTTCTCTGCTACTTCTATTATCTCTGTTTACTTTGCAGAAAAAAGTACCCACCACATAAGTTGACCAGTAATGTTTAACTTACAAGCTTGCAAACTTAGGATCAATCAGATGGACCATTTAAACTGTACTTTTTCCCGTTTGATACTCTCTGAATGTACTGCTATTCCAAAGTATTGGGGTGATCCACATTGAAGAATGTGAGTTCACATCTGTTAAGAGTTTTTAGCCTTTTTGTGCCATGGATCTTTTGGCAGCCTGGTAAAACCTAAAGACCCTTTCTCAGAAAAACACACTTAAATGCCTAACATAAAATACATAATTATAGATTGTATCACAAAGGAACCCAAATTATGTTCAAATAGAGGTCCTCAACCTGCAACCACAATTGGAATTTGTACTTCTACTGTAAGTCACTGTAATTGTAAATCAAGTTGGACCTGATTTTATGATCATTAAGTGAATCCATGGTACTTGGGTGAATCCACTGTGGTTGTAAGCATAAACCTGTTCTTCTGTATGGGCGTTTGGGCTCAAACTGCAACCTTAACATGCCGTAACCAGTGGTAAGTGTAAGATGGTTGCCAATCACCCAAATTGCCATCACATGACTGGTGTGATAGTCATAAGTGTGAGTATTGGTCATAAGTGCAAGGAGAGGGCATAAGTGGAAGGAATGGAATTTTTTAGCACTGTCATTTGAATGGTTACTAAATGAATGATTGTGAATTGAAGATGCATATTTGAACCAAGTATCACATTGATCTGAGATCCTGAATGGATTTTATTTGTAAAAAAAAATATCATATTATGCCAAGAAAAGTCTTCATGAAATTCAGGTTAGTGGAAACTCTATCAGTGTAACGGATGATGTGAAGGTTAGCTCACGAAAGCATGTCTTTTAATCGCATTTGCTAATGATAACCAACTCCTGACTGAGCAAAAAAAAGTAACTTCTGATTTTAAGCTGTGCATCTTTGGCTCCTGATCTATCATGATTGCTAAAGGTCTTTTTTCTTTCTATTTCTTTCTTAGTGATAACCACCTTCCACTCTAAATCTGAGGAAAGAAAACAGGAAATAAGGTCTTAGTGTCTATGAAGATTCTCAGTTATCCAGGTCATGGTTGTCCCAAAGTGCTTTTTCAGGAGGCAACTTGTACTTTCTTCTTGTTGTTGTTTTTTTGAAGATGTTTCACTTCTCGTCCAAGGAGCTTCTTCAGCTCTGACTGGATGATGGATTTATATTCCTTGCAGACAGTTGGTTATTTGCAGTCTTTTAAGGAGTCATTAAGGCCACTTGGATATTTGTCTGTGTCCTTTAATGATTCTCTAGAAGAATGCAAATGACCAGCTGTCTGCCAGGAATATAAATCCTTCCATTCCCCACCATCCAGTCAGAGCTGAAGAAGCTCCTTGGATGAGAAGTGAAATGTCCAAAGAAAAAACAAAGAAGTCCAGTTGCCTCCTGAAAAAGCACCTTTGGGATAATCTCTTAATGGAAAAAAACATCCAGCTATTATCTTCTGTTCCTGATACTGTGCCTTGCGGGCTCTCTTCCCTCTAACCCTTTAGGGGGGGGAACAACTGCATTCTCTACAGGCAGAGTCCGGTTGGCCCATGCAGAGAGAGTGCTATGTGGTATAGAAATTAATAAGGACCTCTTAGGAGTCAAGAATTGGATGCCTCTACTTATGGCTTCTGCTTGTGGTTTCTTTTCATTTCATTTCTATGGTAAAGTCTTGCACTGCAAAGACTCATGTATTTGTCAACTGCTTTCTCTAACTGGAAGTCCAGCGTGAAAAGGAAGTACTGTAAAAAAGAGAAGAAATGCTGATTAATAGAAGGATAGAGAAAAAGAAGGCAACAAGAGGAAGGGTTTAAAATCTTCTCTCCAAAGCTTGCACCTCTTTTGCACTTCTTGCACAGAGGTATGTCTTGTTGGTGCTTTTCTGCACAGAGGTATGTTTGCACAGATGAACAGGTGGCTCACACCTCATCAGCTTCAGACGACCCTGTGGTACTATTTTTTTTGACATCATTTCTATCTCACAATAGCTGAAACTTTTTTTGTGTAAGAAGATAGACTCACAATTCTATTTACTTGCCAAGTTTACTTTTACCTGATGGGCATTTTTTGTCGGAAACTGGAAGTAAACATCAGAAATCAGCAAAAAAAAAAAAAAAAAATCAAAAATGATTGTCATGTGATTGAGGGCTGCTTCAAGCAGTCATAAATTCAGTTGCCAAGCATCCAAAATCCAATCATGTGTGTGTGTGTGTGTTTGTCACAATTTTACGGTAATTCAAAAATTGTGTGTGTGGCTAGTCTAACTCCAAGGCTTTTTTGAGGGGGAGAGGCATCTATTGTAACTTCAAACAATTGTTAAGCTACCAGTCATATTCCGAGGACAACCTTCAGTTCAAATAAAAGATCTTAGGAATTGTGGAATCCACTATAAGAAGAAAATGTAAAAAGGAATTAATGCTCCTTGACCAATCTATCAGAGGAAAGACTGTGTTTAGATCTAAGATTAGATAAAGGACCTAGGTTTCTGTAACTAGGTATTTTTATTAATGTTTATTATTCATTCGTTTAGATTTATCTTCACACCATCTTGGCTTCTTGATATATTAGCCCTGTTGTTCATTTATGGAACTGGACTGGGAAAATCATTAACTACCCTTAAGGTAACCTCACAAGCAGGTTCTAAATCACCTGATTTTATTGGCCCAAGTTAGATTTCAATATTGATTTTTATTAACACTTTTTCACAGAATGTCAGGTTGTTTTGAATCTTACATGAGTTTTTCCATTTAAGAATAGAAAAAAGCAGATACCATCTTCCCCATACCTAGTTTTGCAATTCCAGGAACACCCAACCTGTTTTCTCAGCCAGAGATTTAAAAGACAAGTCAGACTCTACCACAGTTAGAATATTTGTATTTGAACATTGCCTGAAGTCCTTTGGAAAGCAAATGGAAATGCTTCCAGACAAGATTTGCATTCTACAGTGAACTCTGGATCAAGTACAGAATTCTTACAGGGGTTCCGGACATTATTACCTTTCATATCTTCCTTGTATTTTCCCTCAATTTTTTTTCCTATTAAAAATATTTTTCCTATTAAACATTAAAATTATAGCCACAGAAACTTTTATTTTTGAAAACAGTCTGGGATTATATGATGTTTGTCAGGGGCTCCTTATTAGATAAAATGAGTTGGTAAAACTTTTTTTGGGAGAACGATTTGAAATCTTATGGATTAGATAATCAAGAAATAGAAAGCGGGAAAGCGGATTGGTGTGGCTTGTTTTGGGCAGCAAGCATAGGAGACTGGAAAGAACATTTCCTGGTGCCTTAAAGTGAAAAAATGACATATATATGCTACTAGAACCTTTGTTCCTATAACAGTGCAACAAAGCACAATTTTTGAATCGAAGTATCTCAAGTGAGCTAATTTACACGATCCATTCAAAATTTGAGATCCACCATGGAAATTTGGCAAATTTTATAAAACATTTTCTGATACCAGCCTGAATTCCTAGGATTTGGCCTGTGCAGACAGTGTTCGTTTAAGCTAGTGCTATGGTCAATAGGGGACGTGGTGGCTCAGTGGCTAAGACTGAGTTTGTCGATCAGAAAGATTGGCAGTTCGGCTTTTCAAATCCCTAGTGCCACATAATGGAGTTACCTCCCGTTACTTGTCCCAACTTCTGCCAACCAGCAATTCAAAAGCATGTAAAAATGCAAGTAGAAAAACCACTTTGTTGGGAAGGTAACAACTTTCCGTATGCCTTTAGTATTGAGTCATCCCGGCCACATGACTACGGAGATGTCTTTGGACAGTGCTCTTTGGCTTTGAAACAGAGATGAGCACTGCCCCCTAGAGTCGGGAACGACTAGCACATATGTGTGAGGGGAATCTTTAACTTTACCTATGGTCAAAAGATCAAGGCTACAATTTCTCAGACTAATTTGTAGAATTTATACCAGTTTTCAAATATAGTTCTTACCTTATCCCCAATCCAAATATGTAATATATATATATATCTTATATATTCCATCATATCTAGAAGGCATCAAAGAAGGTTGTTTCGAAGAGAACCAGGATTTTCTTCTTTCCCTCTCCCTTGGCTCCTGATTGCTTGGATGAGTCCTTGCAGTTTCTTGACAAGATTTTGGAAAGGTTTAGCCATTGCCTTCATCCTAGAGTGAGTGACTGACCCAAGATCATGTAACTGGGTTTGTGTCTAAGGCAGGACTAGAACTCCCAGTCGCCTGGTTTTTGTCTGATGCTTTAACCATCACACCAACCTGGCTCTCTTTAAGAAAGTCCTTTAGATAAAATATGAAAACTGCAACGGTTTGCACTACAAAAAATAACATTCGGGCAATTGCAACTACCTGCATTAAAAAACGATTCACATGACTCCTAAAGACAACCCCCACATACATGAAAGAATAGGAGGGAGAGGACCAATTTAAATGCACTGGCCCTGATGACTTTATGTTTCCACATTTCCATCATTTATTCGCACTAAGCGTCCCCGAATAAGCACTGTAGGATCGGGAACCTCAAATTTCCTCAGAGTTCCATTGCCTCATAACCCACTTAGGTCCAGATGGGAAGGCTGAATACCGCGTCCTGTGGCCACAAGGCATCATGGGAGTTGTAGTTCTGTGATGCAGTGGCGACAGACGTCGATCAAAAACACGCTACTGCGACTGCGCCATGCTTCTCCTTTCCGCGAAATGCCTTTCGGGAGCTGTAGTTCGTTCCCTTCCTTCTTCCCAGTCGCCTTTGCAGCTTCCGTTGCCGGTTTGGCCGCCAGAAAGTATGCCAGGGAGCCGGGGCGGGAAGCCCCGAGAAGCCGCCAACCCCGCCGTGGGCGGTGGGACGGAGTCGGTGACAGAACGAGTCCTCCGGGAGGCTCACTCGCTTTACGTGCAGCAGGGTCATGGTGAGAGCTGAGGGGATATGATATAAAGGGGGGGGGGGACTCTTTCTTTTTTGTGGGGTTAAACAACATGCTAAGTGTCTGCCATAACTTTCTCGCTCTGCTCCCAGGTTTAGTGTCCATAGGAGAGCGCCTGGGCCTGACCCTGCTTCCCCCTCGCCGTAGAGTGACTGTCATGGTGATGGGCAACCACAGTGCTGGGAAGAGCAGCTTTATCAACTGGTGAGCTGAAGGGGAATGCCAGAAAATCAATCAAGGGAAGTCAAAACTGGGAATGACACAGTGGTGGGATTTAATTTGTTTTAATACTTGTTCTGTGGGCGTGGCTTGGTGGGCGTGGCAGGGGAAGGTTACCGCAAAATCCCCATTTCCTCCCAATCAACTGGGACTCGGGAGGCAGAGAATAGAAGGGGCGGGGCCACTCAGAAGTGATATTTACCGGTTCTCTTTCCAAACTACTCAAAATTTCCACTACTGGTTCTCCAGAACTGGCCAGAAACCCGCTAAATACCATCTCTGGAATGGCATCATTAGAATACGGAACTCTGGGAAAATCATAATGGAGAAGGTGGTATGGCACAAGGCATTCTGGGAAAATCCTAAAAAGTTATCCATAGTACAGATAATCCTCGGCCTACAGCCACAATTGAGCCCAAAATTTATATTGTTAAGTGAGGCATTAATTAAATGAATTTTGCCCCTCTTTCTTGTTACGTTGTTAAGTGAATCACTCCTGCTGTTAAGTTACTAGCACTGTTGTTAAATTGGGTTTCCCCCTTGATTTTTCTTGTCAGAAGGGTCACAAAAATGACCCCTGGATAACATAACAATCATAAATCTGAGTCATTTGACAAGAGTCTGAATTTTGATCATGTGACCATGGGGATGTTATAACGGTTGTAAGTGTGAAAAATTGTCATAAATCACTTTTTTCAGTGATGTTATAACTTTGAATAGTCACCAAATGAACCATTGTAGGTCGAGAACTACCTGTACAAAAAGTTGGAGGCAATCTGTAGTAGTTCAGGTCTTGCAGAAATTGTTGCTTCTAATTTTTTTGAAATAGATAGACAGACAGACACAGCCTTTATTGTTATTATACAAAATAAGTACAATGAAATTGGTGAACTATAATATCTGGTTAAAAATGGTGAAATTATTGTTTATTTATTTCCATCGGTGATTATTATATTGGGGAAAGACTTCCATTTAAAATGGCAGTCTGAAAAGCTGAACTTGTCACGGCTCCTTCATTTAATAACCAAGAAAGAAACCACTCAACTCCANCATCATGAATCATAAGATACAACACTTAGTGATAGTTATAGGATACTAAATAAGCAATTAAAATCATACTAGGAAACAACATAAAACAATATGAATTATAAAGATACAAACAAGGTTATAGTCATTGGGGGGGTTCTATTTTTTTTTTCCTACCGGTTCGCTCGTGTGCTTGTGTGTACACATGCATAGAAGCATCCGGGCAGGTGGGCACAGCCTCCCACCACCGTTACTACTGGTTTGCCTGACCTTGGCCGAATCAGCAGTAAATCACCTCTGGTTATAGTCATAAGTAGAAAGGAGATAGCTGATAGGAAGGATGAGAAGAGTAATAGTAATACAATCTTAATAAATAGTTTGAGAGTGTTGTGGGAATTAGTTGTTTAGCAGAGTGATAGCATGCAGGGAAAAATTCACCTTGTGTCTAGTTAGTGAGCAATGCTCTATAGTGTCGTTTTGAGGGTAGAAGTTGAAACAATTTATGTTCATGATGTGAGCGGTCTGCAGATATTTTCACAGCCCTCTTTTTGACTTATGCAGTATACAGATCCTCAATGGAAGGTAGGTGGATAACAATTGTTTTTTCTGCCATTCTAATTATCTGTTGAAGTCTGTTTCTGTCTCATTTGATTGCAGAGCCAAACCAGACAGCTATAGAGGTGGAGATGACAGACTCAATAATTCCTCTGTAGAATTGTATCAGCAGCTCCTTGGGCAATTTGAGCTTTCTGAGTTGGTGCAGAAAGAACATTCTTTGTTGCGTTTTTGTGATGAAGTTTTTGATGTTAGGTGTCTATTTTAAATCTTGAGATAAGATAGAATCTAGAAACCTGAAGGCTTCTACTGTTGATACTGTGTTGTCTAGTATTGTCTAGTATTGTCCTAAAACCTACCACCATTTCTATGGTTTTGGATGTGTTTAGTCCAAGATTGTTCCTGCCGCACCATAGGGCTAATTGTTTAACCTCCCATCTGTATGCAGATTCGTTGTTGTCTCAAGACCAACCACTGTTGTATCATCTGCAAACTTCAGTACTTTAACAGAGGGATCTTTTGAGATACTGTCATTAGTATATAGAGAGAAAGTAGAGAGAGCACACAGCCTTGGGGGCCCCTGTGCCAATTGTACAGGTATCTGATGCTATTTTGCCTAGCTTCACCTGCCACTTCCTGTCTGTTAGGAAGCTTATGGTTCACTTACAAGTGGGGTCAGGAACAGCTAGCCGGGCTTGACCACACTTCTAACCAGAATTCTAATCAGAACATTAAGTACTTAAGAACTTTCTAAGGAGGCTAAATGGAAAGACACTAAAGTTTTATGAGAGAGTTCCATATGTTCTAAGAGAAGTTATAATATATTTTATGGCCTCTTGAACGCTATCCCAGGAATAATATCTTACTTGCATATATTTTGGAGCTATAAATCATTCCAGAGGCACTGGCTCATTATCCCTGTATTGGTGTCTCTAATTGTTTTATTACTTTCTTACTGAATCACAGGGGACACTGAGGGCGAATGTTTAGGTATGGGATGTTATTTAAACTCGGAGCTCTTTTCTTTATAAATCTTAGTTTAACTTTGTT